ACACACACACACACACACACACACACACACACATACACATACATACATAAACATATACATACATATATCATAAATGTACCCTTTTAACCATTTTAAGTGTACAGTTTAGTGTCATTAAATACATTCACACTGTTGTGCAACCATGATCACCATCCATTTCCAGAATTTACTTTATCTTTCCAAATGAGAACTATGCCCCCATTACCCAATAACGCCCCATTACCCTCTCCCCTCACCCCTGGTAACCTCTATTTTACTTTTCATCTCCGTGAATTTGATACTCCAGGTATTTCGTGTGATTGGCATCATGCAGTCTGTCCTTTTGTTTTGCAATTTGGCTTCTTTCACTTAGCATAATGTCCTCAAGTTTCATCCATGTCGTGGCATGTGTCAAAATTTCCCTCCCTTTTAAGACTGAAAAATATTCTATTGTATGGATAGACCACATTTTATTTGTTTTTTTATTTTATTTTTATTTTTTTGAGACAGAGTTTTTCTCTTTTGCCTAGGCTGGTGTGCAGTGGTGCAATCTCCGCTCACTGCAACCTCTGCCTTCTGGTTTCAAGCGATTCTCCTGCCTCAGCCTCCCAGGTAGCTGGGATTACAGGTGCCCGCCATCACACCCGTCTAAATTTTGTATTTTTAGTAGAGATGGGGTTTCACCATGTTGGCCAGCCTGGTCTCGAACTCCTGACCTCATGATCCTCCTGCCTCGGCCTCTCAAAGTGCTGGGATTATAGACATGAGCCACTGCCCCTGGCCTCGACCACATTTTAAATAATCCATTCACCTGTTGATAGACACTTGGGTAGCTTCCACATTTTGGCTGTTGTCCATAATGTTGCTATAAACACTGGCATACGAGTATCTGTTAGAGTCTCTGCTTTTACTTCCTTTGGGTATACATGCAGAAATGAAATTGCTGGATCACATGGTAATTCTATGTTTAATTTTTTTTGAGAAGCATTGGATATTTTGAGCAGAGGAGTGACGTAATCTAATATGTTTTTTAAAGGCTCACTCAGGATGTTGGGTTCACAATGAAACTGTAGAGGAAACAGCTAAAGAAGATGACTAGTGCATTAAGAGGCAAGCATAGTAGCTTGCCCGGGGAGAAGTGGGAGAAGAGATGAGATTCTGAATGTATTTTCAACCTAGACCCAATAAGACTTGCTGACAGAGTCAGTGTGGAATGAGAAGGAGGAGTCAAGGATGGCTCTAAGAAGAATGGCCTGAACAACCGGAAGCACTAAATGATGGGGGAAGAACTGTGGGATGAGCTGTCTAGTGGGAAGAAAACCGAGTTTGTTTATAGAGTTGTCAATTTGAGAGCCTTCTTAGACATCTCCATCCCCTTGTTAAAAGTGGAGATGTTGAGTGGGCATTTGGATATACACGTCTGAAGTTAGAGAGAAAGATTCATGCTGAACTTATCAGTGTAAAGATGGTATTTCATACCATGAGATGGGATGAGATCAGCAAAGTATAATATAAACTGAAAAGAGAATGGGTCTCAGGACTGAGTGCCTGAGGCATTTCTGCACTGAAGGGGAGACCAGGAGGACTCAGCAGAGGAGACTGAGAAGGGAACAGCCAATGAAAGGGGGAGAACCAGGAGTGCCTGTGTCCCAGGATTCAAGTGCATGACCGCTTTTCTGTCTTGCATGTTTGCAGACACTGTTTCCCATTCCTGGGATGCTCCTGCTTCTCTGCCTCACCTATATAATCCCTATGCATTGTTTATGTCTAACTCAAGTGTCATCTCCTCTACCAGAGCATTTCTCAGAAACTCATCTCCAACATTGCTCTGGATTAGGTGCCTATTCTCTGTAATTGCACAAGGCTTTGTGTTTAGCTCTGTTAAACCATGCTCTCCAGCGGCTTCCTAGATATTTTTTTTTTTTTTTTTTTTTGAGACGGAGTCTCACGCTGTCACCCAGGCTGGAGTGCAGTGGCGCGATCTCGGCTCACTGCAAGCTCCGCCTCCTGGGTTCACGCCATTCTCCTGCCTCAGCCTCCTGAGTAGCTGGGACTACAGGCGCCCGCCACCGCGCCCGGCTAATTTTTGTATTTTCAGTAGAGACGGGGTTTCACTGTGGTCTCGATCTCCTGACCTTGTGATCCGCCCGCCTCGGCCTCCCAAAGTGCTGGGATTACAGGCGTGAGCCACCGCGCCCGGCGGCTTCCTAGATATTTATACTTCCTAAACTATAAGGCCCTAAAGCAAGACTAATTGTTCTGTTCTATATCCCTAGTGCTAACCCAGACTAAGTGCTAAATAAATGTTGGCTAAATAAAGTGACCTTAGCACAGAGTACTGAGGTTAACTTTTTCCCTTATAGATCACACCCACTGGACTGTGAACTTTCTGGAAACTCTTTTTGCTTCTGTATTCTTAGTCTAGGGCAGAGGTACATGGAAGATGCTCAGTAAATGCCTGTTGAGACAATAGTTGACTTGATGGTTCTTGTTCAGGTTTCACAAGTATAAGTGAGTACCCACTGAGCAGGGCTCCAAATGGGGTGATATAGATAATACAATCCTTCTTAAAGGTAGAGTCATCGCCAAGGGTGCTGACGTTCTCTAATTTTTGGCAGACGGTGGGTGGCCTTGACCGAATCGGACATCTTCTGGAACACGACTGACACTGGCTGGGTGAAGGCAGCCTGGACTCTCTTCTCTGCCTGGCCTAATGGAGCTTGTATTTTTGTGCATGAGCTGCCCCGAGTTGATGCCAAAGTTATCCTGAATGTAAGAGGAAAAACCAACAACACCCCATATGTGTTGGGTATAAATCAGATGAGTGGGATATAGATTTCAGGCTGCAGGAGAAAACACATGAATCAGTGACTTTAAGGCTTCTTTGGTGTGGCTCCCGGGCCTTCCATAATCTGGTTCCTGACCACCTGGTTCCCTTCCATCACTGCCTATGCTCTAGCTAGATTCCTAGATTAAGACCATTTCATTGCTATTTCTCCTGCATGGGGTGCCCTTGTCTCCACCACTTTCTTCCTTATGCCTCTGCCAAAACCCTAGGTATTTGTCAAACCCTTAGGCAAAATCAGTCTGTGCCTCAACTCCAAATGCTACCGTCCATGGTGTTTAACATGGCCCAACTAGAGAGTCCTGGTGACTCCTGCTCAGGCTCCCAGGGTCTTCTTATAGGGAGGGGGGAGATTGGTGCCCCCAGTCAAGACACAGGTCACCTTTCTCCAGCCCCCCATATCCTAAGTGTCATTCCTGAAAATGTCAGAGGGCTCTTCTGCTCATACTATTTGTACTGAGATAAGCTGTATCACCTGGTAGCTAACTGCACAGGTCATGCCATCAGTCAAAGAGTCAGACCTGGACTCTGATCCTACACCTTTGATTCGCTAGTTGTGTGGCCTTGGGGAAGTTGCCTAATCTCCCTGAACTGCAGTTTCAGCCTCACCTATAAGAAAGGGATAACGTATCTCTATAGGGTTGCTGCGAGAATGAAATGATACAAGGCAAAGGGGCCAGCACATAGTAAGTTCTTTTTTGAAATAATTTTTAATTTTTGTGGGTACATAGTAGGTGTATATCTTTATGGGGTACATTAGATATTTTGATGTAGGCATGCCATGCATGAAAATCACATCATAGAGAATGAGGTATACATCCCCTGAAAGCATTTATCTTTTGTGTTACAATCTAATTATACTCTTTCAGTTATTTTAAAATATACAATTAAGTTTTTATTGACTAAAGTCACCCTGATGGGCTTTAAAATAATAGGTCTTATTCATTCATTCTATTACTTTGGTGCCAACTAACCATCCCCACCTTTCTCTCAGCCCCCAACTACCCTTCCCAGCCTCTGGTAGTCATCCTTCTAATCTCTATTTCCATGAGGTCAATTGTTTTGACTTTTAAATCTCACAAATAAGTGAGAACATGTGAAGTTAGTCTTTCTGTGCCTGGCTTATTTCACTTAACATAATGATCTCCAGTTCCACCCATGTTATTGCAAATGACAGGACCTCATTCTTTTTTATGGATCCATTGTGTATATGTACATTTTCTTTATCCATTCATCTGTTGATGGACACTTACGTTGTTTCAAAATATAGTAGATTCTTTTTTAAAAAACAATTATTTTCATAGGTTATGGGGGAACAGTAACTAAAAGGTGGTGTTTGGTTACATTAGTAAGTTCTTTAGTGGTGATTTATAAGATTTTGGTGCACCCATCACCTAAGCAGTATACACTGCACCCAATTTGTAGTCTTTTATCCCTCACCCGCTTCCCACCCTTTCCCCCAAGTCCCTAAAGTCCATTATGTCATTCTTATGCCTTTGCATCTTCATAGCTTAACTCCCACGTATGAGGGAGAACATAAAATGTTTGGTTTTCCATTCCTGAGTTACTTTACTTAGAATAATAGTCTCCAATCTCGTCAAGGTCCCTGTCAATGCCATTACTTCATTCCTTTTTATGGCTGAGTTGTATTCCATTATATATATTTATATACCACACTTGCTTTGTCCACTTGATTTATGGGCATTTGGGTTGGTTCCACATTTTTGCAATTGCAGACTGTGCTGCTATAAACATGTATGTGCAAGTATCTTTTTCATATAATGACTTATTTTCCTCTGGGAGGATATCCAGTAGTAGGATTGCTGGATCAAATGGTAGTTCTACTTTTAGTTCTTTAAGGAATCTCCACACTGTTTTCCATAGTGGTTGTACTAGTTTACATTCCTACCAGCAATGTAGAGGTGTTCCTTGTTCACTGCATCCATGCCAACATCTATTTTGATTTTTTTATTATGGCCATTCTTGCAGGAGTAAGCTGGTACCACATGGTGGACCAAATATAGTAGATTCTTAACCCATATTGATTGTTATCATCATGATCAAACTCATCACTATCATTATCCATGTAGTGCTTGAACAGCCAGTGTATGGACCTTCTCCTCGCATTGTCCCCAGCTCTGACATAGTGTTTTCATTATCTATTGCTATGTAATAAATTATACCCAAACATAGAACTTTAAAACACAAGCATTTATCTCACAGTTTCTGATGGTCAGGAAGCTGGAGGCAGCTTAATGAGGGGATTTGGGAATAGAGTCTCTCATGAGGTTGCAATCAAGAGGTCAGCAAAGTACGCTCGTGTTCATAGCAGCATTAACAATAACTAAAAGGTGAAAGCAACACAAGTGTCCATCCACACATGAATGAACAAACAAAATGTGGTGTGTACATGCAAAGGAATATTACCCAGCCTTAAAAAGGAAGGACATCTTGTTATATGATATAATGTGGATAACCCTTGAGGACATTATGCTAAGTGAAACATGACAGTCATACAAGGACAAATATTGTATGATTCCACTTACATGAGATACCAAGAGTAGTCAAATTCATAGACACAGAAAGTACAACGGTGTTTACAAGGAGTTAGGGGAGAGAGTAATGGGAAATTATTGTGTAATGGGTACGGAGTTTAAGTTTGAGAGGATAAAAATAGTCCTGGAGGTGGATGGTGGTGATGGTTTCACAACATTGTGGAAATATTTAATCCCACTGGACTATACACTTAAAAACCATTCCAATGGGCAAATTCTATGTTGTGTGTATGTTACCACAATAATTTTAAAAAAGATATTAGCTAGGACTGCAATCATCTTAAGGATTGACTGAAGCTGAAAAATTGCTTACAAACTCATGGTGGCTGGGTACAGTAGCTCATGCCTGTAATCCCAGCACTTTGGGAGGCCAAGGCGTGTGGATCATGAGGTCAGGAGTTCACGACCAGCCTGGCCAAGATGGTGAAACCCCGTGTCCACTAAATATACAAAACTTAGCCAGGCATAGTGGAGGGTGCCTGTAATTCCAGCTACTCGTGAGTCTGAAGCAGAGAATTGCTTGAACCTGGGAGATGGAGGTTGCAGTGAGCTGAGATCTTGCCACTGCACTCCAGCCTGGGTGACAGAGCGAGACTCCATCTCAAAAAACAAAACAAAACAAAACAAAAGAAAAAAAATTCACTGGTGGTTTTTAGTAGACTTCAGTTTCTCACTGGGTGTTTGCTAGAGTCTCCAGTTTCTCACTGTGTGCACCTGTCCATAGGATGGCTTGAGCATACTCAAAACATGGTGGCTTGCTTCCCCCAGAACAAGGGATCCAAGAAAGGGAGAGAGAAAGAACATCCAAGACAGAAACCGTAGTCTTTGTACAACTGAATCTGGAAAGTGATATTCATCACCTTGACAGTATGCCATTGCTGTCACAGACCCACTTTGGTATGAGGTGAGAGGGGATTCCTCCAAAGGTGCAAATGCTAGGAAGTAGGGGTCACTGGGCACCATCTTGGATGCTGGATTCCACACATAGTTTTCAACTTCTCTGCTTTGGTAGTGAGAATATAAAGATGCAGTGCATTTGGCTCCATCTTCATGGTCCCACCCCAGTGATTCTAAGGACATCTTTCACCCTTTGCTTTTGTTTAGACTCTCTCTACATTCCCGATAACCACCCTCTGCTGTGTCCCAACCATCTTTCGGCTGCTTGTGCAGGAGGATCTGACCAGGTACAGCCCATCTGTTTGGTGCTTTGAGGGCCTAAGTATGTGAATAGACAGCATGGGTATCCACACATACAACTATCCTCTCATTCCAACTCTCTTTCTATCTTTCTCTGTCTCTATATATTTTTCTGTCTCTCTCTTTGTCTCTCTCTCGCACACACATTTATACACATACACATTGACAAGTCAACATACCTGTAAACCTCACAGATGCCCCTCAAGAACAAGCTTCTGGCCCCCAAAAATTTGCATCCAGAGGGAACTAAATAGATTTAGGGCAGTCTGAAATTTTAGCACCTGAGATAGGCTTCTCCCCACACCATACACCCATGGGCTATTCTCTCAGCAGTGTGTCTGCTACTTCTGTGAGGTGAGAGAAATTATTGGACAATTGTTAGCCACCTATGGAGTGGGGTTTGTGGCCAGGGCCCTCAGTTCTGGTGAAACTAACAAGCCCACACCACAGTAGATGCCCCAACTCTCAGCCTCAGACTCACCCCAGCCAACTGTTCTCTGACCACATGCCATTGGGCACCCAAGAGAAAGGGACAAGGCACTGATGATGGCTCCATCCTGGGTGAAGCCAAAGCAACATCTTCTGGCAGAACAGGGCTAGTTGCTGGGGTATATGGAGAAAGGCCCACCGTCCTTCAGTACCCACCAACCCTGACCTATTCTCCCTCTTTTGTCCTGCCCCAAGTCATAAGGAGTCATCCTCTCATCTTTCCTAATCACATGAATCTACCCACCAAGTGCCCAGAGGAGGGAGTTCTTACATGCTTCTAAAAGTGAATTCTTCTCCAATGTAAGAAGTTCATCCCATTCGGTGATCTGATGTGTGCATCTCCAGATGATGATTTTGGCTGAAAGCAAGCTCCAAGTACCTTGTTAAGAACAATGTCGTTGAATGCCATTTGGTAGTACTAAGTAACTTCGTCAAGCCAATTTGATCTCCCTTCTCCTCCAAGATCAAAAATGTACTTGCAATCACTGAATTTTTTTTTTCTTTTAGTTTGGATGATTTGTTGAACAGAAAGGGCGTTTTGCAACATAATTAATCTGTAGGAATTTGTGAGATTCTTAGAAGACTAATTTTTATCTTTTCAATTTTCTTTTCTCTCCTTTCTCTTCCTCTTTCTTATTTATTTATTTATTTATTTAAGAGACAGAGTCTTGCTCTGTCGCCTAGGTTGGAGTGCAGTGGCATGATCTTGGCTCACTGCAACCTCCGCCTCCTGGATTCCAGCTTTCCTCCCACCTCAGCCTTCCAAGTAGTTGGGACTACAGGCATGTGCCACCATACCTGGCTAATTTTTTGTATTTTTTGGTAGAGACGGGGTTTTACCACATTGACCAGGCTGGTCTTCAACTCCTGAGCTTAAGCAATCTGCCCACCTTGGCCTCCCAAAGTGCTGGGACTACAGGTGTGAGCCGTGGTGCCTGGCCTATCTTTTCAATTTCTAATTGATTTATCTATCCTTTTCAATCAGATTATTGTCCTAACCAATTTATGATCAGTTTTTTTTCAACTAAATTATTTTGGCCAAGTTACCTGGAACTCACCATATTATGCCAAAACCTATTATATGAGCTTCTGATTTTATCCCAAACTCAGATAGGGTGAATCTTTTAAAAATTAGCTGTCCATGAGGAGAATGGTTGTAAAGCCTGAGGATGGACTCACTTAGAGCAGGTTAAAAAGCAGGGCCGTCTACCCTCTAGTGCCTGTGGGTGTTTACGTCTGGGCAGTGGCACCAGAAGGCGGGTGGTATGAAGATCCTGACATAGGTGGCCTTGTTTTCCTGCCTGAGAAAGGTACCAGTTTCAGAGCCTGAGGCACTGTCTGACCGGAGGAGAGGCCCTCAACCCTGACGTGAGGGAGAAGTGGAAACGCCAGACCGGTGTGGAGCTGTACGAAGGCTATGGCCAGTCTGAAACGGTGAGCACTGGAGGGGCCAGGTCCCCTCCAGGGCTTCCTGCCTCTCCAGCTGTAACCTCCCTGAAGCTTCTCAGGGACCACCCCACCACTCCTCCACCCAGGGGAGAAGCTGATAACAAAACTCCATCAGCTTTCCTTCCCTTTTGATTTCCATATGTTCTCACTTATAAGCGGGAGCTAAGCTATGAGGATGCAAAGACATACAAAGTGGTATAAAAGACTTTGGAGACTCAGAAGGAGGAAGGTGGGAGGAGGGGTGTGAGGGTAAAGAAACTACATATTGGGTATAATGTACACTACTCAGGTGACAGATGCACTAAAATCTCAGAATTCACCACTGTAGAATTCATCCATGTTACAAAAAAATGCTCATACCCAAAAACCTATTGAAATACACACACACACACAACAGACACACACACACACACACTTCTTAAAAATTAAAAAAAGGTACTTTAAAGTGCTTTTACAACTATACCATGACCAGCAAACCAGCCCTCACGGTTGGATGCATTGTTTGTCTCTACCAAGACAGCCTACATGTGCGGCTGTTCAGAGTCCCAGATTCTAAGCAGTGTCCTCTACAGTCATCTAGGAAGAGATCTGGGGATCAACTGAGTCTTTTGGCTCAGAGATGCATTAAGTTCTTTATGTTTGAGTGCCCCCTGGAGTGCCCCATAACTGTTTGTTGACTATGGAAAGAAAAGAAGAAAGGCAAGAAGGAAGGAAGAAAATAGGAAGAAAATGAAGAAGGAAGGGAGAGAGGAAATAAAGAAAAGAGAAAGGAAAGGAAGGGGAAAAAGATGAAAGGAAGGAAGGAAATAGTGAAGAAAGAAGAAGGGAGGACAGAGGAAAATGGAGAATGAAATAACAGGGAAAGGAATGAAATAAAGGAGGAAATAAAATGAAGGAGGGAAGAAAAAAACAGGAAAGGAGAAAGGAAAGAGGAAAGGAAAGAAGGAAAGGAAGGAGTGAGGGAGGAAGAAAAAAGAAAAAAGGGAGGAAGAAAGGAGAGAAATGGAGAGAGGAGAAGGGAAAGAAAGAAGAAAGTGAGGGAGGAGAAAAAAGAGGATGAGAGAAAGAGTTATCAGGCAGGGCGAGAGAAAGGCATGGTCCAGGAAAGAAGCTAAGTGGAAAGGCTCTTCTTTATCCGTACTGCTTTCTCCCCAGGTTGTCATCTGTGCCAATCCAAAAGGCATGAAAATCAAGTCTGGATCCATGGGGAAGGCAGTCCCACCCTACGATGTGCAGGTAGCAGCCTCCCCTAACTTCTGGCGAGGCCTGGCGTGGAGAGGAGAAAGACACACAGGCCTGGCTGGCATGGGCCTCTGGGCTGCTGCAGTAGCCCAGGGTGTAGACGCTCATACATGCACCTCTGTGATCTCCCTGCCAGATTGTGGATGATGAGGGCAATGTCCTGCCTGCTGGAGAAGAGGGGAATGTTGCCATCCGTATCAGACCCACCCGGCCCTTCTGTTTCTTCAATTGCTATTTGGTAAGAGACGGGAACAGCCGTTCTCATGATAGTGACTGTGTGCTAAGCATTGTGCACCACACTTTGTAAATATCTATTTGTTTAACCCTTACAATGACTGCATGAGGTAGGTTGCTACTATTATTAGTAAAGTTCTGTTATTGATAAGGAAGACTATTATTGATAAGGAAGCTGCTACAAAGGGGAAGTGACTTATCCAGCATCATGCAACTAGCATAGGCAGGACATGGGATTTAAACGGGGGTATGTCTGAAAGCGCAAAAATACGACATGAGGGCAGCACCGTTGTTTTAATGAGGAGAAAATCGAGGTGCAGTAAAGGAAGGGAGCTTCTGAAGGTCAAACTGCAGCCGGGTGCGGTGGCTCACACTTGTAATCCCAGCACTTTGGGAGGTCAAGGCAGGTGGATCACCTGACATCAGGAGTTCAACACCAGCCTGGTCAACATAGTGAAACCCCGTCTCTACCAAAAATATAAAAATTAGCCAGGCGTGGTGGCACGTGCCTCTAATCCCAGCTACTTGGGAGTCTGAGGCAGCAGAATCGCTTGAACCAGGGAGGAGGAGGTTGCAGTGAGCCGAGATCGCAGCACCGCACTCCAGCCTGGGCGAGGAAGCGAGACTCCATCTCAAAAACTAATAATAATAGTAAATTAATAAATACATAAAGGTCAAACTGCACTATTGTGTCAGAGCTGTCTTCAGGTTTCTCTTTGTGGTTTGCTAGCAGGGCACAAACCTGGGATTTCAGTCCAAGTTTCTGGGATAATTTAGTAATTGCTTCTCTTTTGTATTCACCTTGGCTGGTGTTTATGTTGGGCTTTCTTTTCTTCACAGCTTTCTCTATAAAACCCTCAGATCTGACTGTGCACTAGAAACTCCTGGCAAGCGTCAGTTATTGCTGATGCTTGAGCCCCACCTCAGGCTAATTAAAACTAACATTTCTGGTGTGGATCAGTTTCCCAGGTGATTCGAATGTGCAGCCAAGCCTGGGAGCCACTGCTTAATAGAAATGCCATCTCATGTGTCTATTAAGCTGTCAATCAACTACAGAATTAGAAGGAGCAGAAACAAACCAGTCCATTTGTTTTTGGAATGTTGCATTTTAATGGTTTTTCTGTGACTACAAGAGAAATAATCTTTTACTTTATTTTGTTTAAAATCACAGAAACTTACAAAAACCCACAACATAGTAATCATGCCAAGCTGAGATCATGTTAACATTTTAATGTATTTTTCTGCTAATCAGTCTTGGAAACAATAGTAAATCTTTGACCCCACTGAAAAATGTATTCATTCATTATTTATTGTCTACTTCCTGCCACTCGGTGTGGAGCAGGACTCTGGTACTTACTGTACTTGTACACATTCTTCCTGGTTGTGAGATCATTCCACTGAGTGTACTAAAGTAATTTGAAAAGTTATTTGCTAGATAAGAATCTTTAATTTTTTTGACTGATTCTTTCCATCACCTGCATCAACAGTTAGTTTTCTTTCCAGATCTTTTTTGTTTTGTTTTGTTTTGCAACACTGTCTTCTCACTCTGTTGCCCAGGCTGGAGTACAGTGGTGTGATCTTGGCTCACTGCACTGCTGCCTCCTGGGCTCAAGCAACTCTCGTGTTCCAGTCTCCCGAGTAACTGGGACTAGGCGCATACCATTTCACCGGGGTAATTTTGGTATTTTTAGTAGAGGCGGGATTTCGCCACCTTGGTCAGACTGGTCTGGAATTTCTGGCTTCAAGTGATCTGCCTGCCTCGGCCTCCCAAAGTGCTGGGATTACAGGCATGAGCCACAGTGCCCGGCCCAGCTCATTCTTAAGAGAAAAATATTAAATCTCTTCTGTGAGAATCATGAAACATGTGAAAATTATTGCAGAGAATCTCAAACCAAAATTGTTCTGTGATTTTTTGATAAGCTAAGCTCATTATCCCCCCACAATAAACATAAACATTTCAAATTCATGTTGGTCATTCCCATTTAGTGGAATTGCACATGTCAGTTACATGAATAGGCCCATGTCAACTTTATAACCCATATACGGAATATGCTTATTTTCCTAGGGAAACAAATTGTCAAATGCACAAATATTTGTTATAGTGCTAGCTGTTTATAACAGATAAAAAAGGTGGAGGGACTATCTAAATTTCTAATACCAGAGATTAGTTATGTAAAGGATTATATTATATTATAGCATTGTGAACAAAAGCCAAAAAAAAAAAAAGAAAAGAAAAGAAAAAGAAAGAAAGTAAGAAAAAGAACAAAAAGGAGAAAAAGAAGAGAGAAAAAAATTTTTAAAAAGAACCCAAATTTCTAACACAGGAATTTGCTCAAATAGCTAATATCACCACCACACAGAAATATTATGCAACTATTTAATACAGTTTTTTGGAAGCAGGGTCACATTCTGTCACCAAAGCTGGAGTGCAGTGGCACAATCATGGCCACTGCAACTTTGACTTCTTGGGCTCAGGTAATCCTTACACCTCAGCCTCCCGAGTAGCTGGAACTATAGGCACACGCCACCACACCTAATTTTTTTTTTTGTAAAGATGGGGTTTCACCATGTTGCCCAGGCTGGTCTTGAATTCCTGGGCCCAAGTGATCCACCTGCCTCAGCCTGCCAAAATGCTAGGATTACAGGCATGAGCCACCACGCCCAGCCTATAGGAGTTCTTAATATATTCTTTATATTGGTCATTTGTTATAAGAGTTGCTAATATCTTCCTCCCCGGTGGTAGCTTATCTTTTCACTTTCTTTCACTTTCTTTAAGCTATTTTTATTGAACAGAAGCGTTTATTTCCATGTCATCAAATCATTAAGTTTTTAAGTGTTATGAATAGTGCTTTTTGTGTCTTATAAAATCATTTTCAACTTTGGGGTAGGAAATACACATATTCACCTATAGTTTCTTCCAACAGTTTTATAATTTGGCTTTTGACATTTAAGTTTATAATCCATCTGTGGTTGATGTATACATGGTATGAGATAGGGGTCTATTTTATTTTTCTCTATATGAAAAACCAATTTGTTGAATAAATCCTCCTTTTCCCAGTTATCTGTCAAGATAATTTTGTCAGATATAAAAGTGTAATATAGGCCAGGTGTGGTGGCTCACACCTGTAATCCCAGGACTTTGGGAGGCCAAGGTGGGTGGATCACCTGAGGTCAGGAGTTAGAGACCAACCTGACCAATATGGAGAAACCCCATCTCTACTAAAAATATAAAAATTAGCTGGGTGTGGTGGCGGGCAACTGTAGTCCCAGCTACTTGGGAGGCTGAGACAGGAGAATTGCTCGAATCCGGGAGGCAGAGGTTGCAGTGAGCTGAGATCACACCACTGCACTCCAGCCTGGACAATAGAGTGGGACTCCATCTCAAATAAATAAATAAATTTTTGAAAGTTTGATATAGTCATAGTTAGGTTTTGGCACTTTCTTGTATTTCCTTGATCACTTACTCTGTCTCCGTACTGATACCATAAAGTCTTATCCACAAAAGCATTACCGTAAGTCTTCATATGTGGGAGAATGACTCTATCCTTGTTTTTCAACTTATTTAGAAGTGTTTTACCTATTCTTAGCCCTTTGCTCATTCATTTACATTTTAGAATCAACTGTCAAGTTCCTTGGAAAATGTTTGCTAGCATTTTGACTAGAATTGTATTGTCTATAAAACAACTTAGGGATAATTGACATCTCTATTAATTAAGTCTATCTTGTTTTGTTTTGAGACAGAGTCTTGCTCTGTCACCCAGGCTGGAGTGCAGTGTTATGATCTTGGCTCACTGCAGCCTCCACCTCCTGGGTTCAAGTGATTCTCCTGCCTCAGCCTCCCGAGTAGCTGGGATTACAGCCATCCACCACCACACCCGGCTAATTTTTGTATTTTTAGTAGAAATGGGGTTTCTCCATGTTGGCCAGGCTGGTCTTGAACTCCTGACCTCAGGTGATCCGCCTGCCTTGGCCTCCCAAAGTGCTGGGATTACAGGCATGAGCCACTGCACCAGGTCGATTAAGTCTTTCTTTCATTTATTTATATCTTCTTTAGTGTGTCGAGTTTTAAGTTTTCTCCATACACATCTTAGAGATTTTGTGCTAGATGTATTTCTAGGTATTGGTAGCTTATATTTTTTCTTTTTTCTCGGAAGGTACTTGTTGAATTGAGATATAATTTACCTACAATGAAATTCACCCATGTTACATGTGCGGGTTGATGACTTTTAACACACATACGCCCCTATGTAACTGCCACCACAGTCGAATATGGAACATTTTTCACCCCCAAATCCTCTCTTATTCCTCTTGACAGCCAATCCTCTCCACTCCAGACCCAGCAATTGATAAATTGTTTGTTGTCACTATGTAATAATTTTGCATTTTAAAAAAAAGAACTTCATATAAATGGAATCACTAACTATTCAAATTTGTCTGTCAGGTTTCTTTTACTCAGTATGATGCTTCTGCAAGTCACCTGTGTGTTTTCATGTATTTTTATTGCTGAGTAGTAGCTTTTTCTTTAAAACTTTGAGAATCGGAGTTTGATTGCTTTTCTCTTTCCTCTACTCTTGCCCCACACCAATGGGCTTTTTGGTGAGCCCTTCTCCCTCCCTTCCGTCCTTCCTTCCATCTTTCCTTCCTTCCTTCCCTTCTTTCTCTCTCTCTCTTTCTTTCTTTTCCTTCCTTCTTTCCCTCCTTCCCTCGCTCCTTCCTTCCTCCCTCCCTCCTTCCCACCTTTCATTCCTTCCTTTTCTTCTCTCTTTCTTTTCTCCCTTCTCTTCCCTTCTTTTCCCTTCCCTTCCCTCCCCTTCCCTCACCTCCCCTCCCCTTCCTTTCCCTTCCTTTTTTTCCTACTTGGAGTAGCCCAGGCTGGAGTGCAATGGCACAATCTCGCAACCTCGCCCTATAGCCCAGGCTGGAGTGCAGTGGTAGAATCTCAGCTCACTGCAACGTCTGCCTCCTGGGTTTAAGCAATTCTCCTGCCTCAGCCTCCCGAGTAGCTGGCATTACAGACATGCACCACCACACCCAGTTAATTTTTTTTATTTTTAGTAGAGATGGGGTTTCACTATGTTGGCCAGGCTGGTCTCAAATTCCTGACCTCAAGTGATGCACCTACCTCAGCCTTCCCCAGTGCTGGGATTACAGGCATGAACCACCACACCTGGCCTAGCCCTTCGCTTTCTATCCTCAGTGATTCCCAAGCGCAAAGAGTATTCGTGTGTTCTTTTGTCCTAAAAAACACAGCCAGTGGCCCTGTGGGGCCCTTCTAAGGATGGTGGTGGGTTGTTGCCCTTAACCATTCGCTGGCAGTTGATTCCAATCAAAAGAGGGAAATCCCATAACTAAACAGGGCCATAGCTCCCTGTCCATTGGGGAACTCTGGGCAGCCTGGACTTCAGGAACTGCTGAACTTTCTGTTGAGTGATCTCCAGCTTCCTACAGGGGGCTACGGGCGCAGTAACTGGCCTTAGCGGCTGTTTCCAGAGGGTCCTTCACGGGCTTTCTTTGTCCTTCAGGACAATCCTGAGAAGACAGCTGCATCAGAACAAGGGGACTTTTACATCACAGGGGACCGAGCTCGCATGGACAAGGATGGCTACTTTTGGTTCATGGGAAGAAATGATGATGTGATCAATTCTTCAAGGTCAAGTTGTCTGCACTTTCCTCCTCCCTTTGAAGTTTCATGGGGGTTGAGGGAAGTCCACTTGGAAGAGTTTGTTTTTCCCTTCCAGCTACCGGATCGGGCCTGTTGAAGTGGAAAGCGCCCTGGCAGAGCATCCTGCCGTCCTGGAGTCGGCCGTGGTCAGCAGCCCAGACCCCATCAGGGGAGAGGTAACTAGTGCACCCAAGAGCACAGCCTCCTGCTTCTGTACTTATTAGCACCCAGCAGAACAAGCAGGAAGGCTCAGATTGTCCTGTATTTCACCTCCATCCATGTGCCACAAAGTTGAAATGCCACCATCAGACACACGTTGCCTTCATGTCTTTAGAGATACAATTACTCTCTAAAGGGACGTAACGGGAAAACACCAACACTTTGCTTTTTAGCAGACACAACTGGGTCCCAAAGAGGCTGGCTATGGGGCAGGAGATCTTAGGGGGAGGTGCAGGCTCTGTTATCCATCCTGTCTAATAAAAAGTCATTTTCTATTTGCAGCTGAGGGCATAGCAAGCACACCAGTCACAGTTTGCTGATGGCTGTAACCTGAGAGGGATAGAATATGTATCCAAAATGACCTTGATATACCAGAAAGCTGGGCCAAATTTAATAAGCTGGGCTTTCATAGGAGAAATCTTTTTTTTTTTTTTTTTGAGATGGAGTCTTGCTTTGTTGACCAGGCTGAAGTTCAGTGGCACAATCTTGGCTCACTGCAACCTCCGCCTCCCAAGTTCAAGCGACCTTCTTGCCTCAGCCCCCCTCCCAGCAGCTGGGATAACAGGCATATGTCACCACACCTGGCTAATTTTTGTATTTTTAGTAGAGACAGGGTTTCACCATGTTGGCCAGGCTGGAGTCTTAAACTCCTGACCTCAGGTGATCACTCGCTCTGGCCTCCCAAAGTGCTGGGATTACAGGCATGAGTCACTGCTCCCAGTCAGGAGAAATCTTCCTGTGGGTCCCAGAGGAATACATAGTATGTGAAAGATCAGCTTACAGGCAGACTTAGCTACTTTTCACTGGCTTACATCCAACATAATCCTAAAGCACAAGTTACCTTTTGAAAGTTAGAGCAACATCAGCCTGCATTCTCAGAAGCATCAGGACTGCAGGAGAGATTCTCAAAGTCTGGTTCTTGGACTGCTTGCAACTGTATCATCTGAGATTCTTATTTAAAATACAGATTTGTAGACCTAAAGTCAGACTTATGGAATCATAATGATTGGGAATGCAGCCCAGAGAATCTGCATTTTAGCCAGCCATTCCTGACCAAGTGATTCTCCACTAAAATCAGAGGCCGTTAATATAGAATAAGGGAGGTGTGGAGTCCCATTGATGTGCTGAAGAAATCACACCTGAAACGTATGACTAGTTCTGTATGCCATGAGTTAACTGGGATTGTGACAAATGGCTGTGTGCTCGAACTTAATCCATGTACAGTGCTTAGAACTGAGTCTGGTGCGCAGAAAGTGCCCAACAAATGTTTAGTAGTTACAGTAGTGAGGAAGCTCTTCCTAAAAGCATATCTGTCTGAACATGAAATGATAGTGGCCTTCCTCCCTGTGGGAAGTAAGCAAGGACAGTGAGCTACCCCTTCATAAAATACTGTTAACAGATAGGAATGCTGGAATTAATAAGCATCCGAGTGACCTTCCATTGCTAACAGAAACTGTGTTCTGTTTGTTGTGCTTGAATCTGGGACACTTCCTCCTCCCTGGCATACGACAGCCTGCAGGAAAGATGTGGGCAGAGAGACCCAAGGTGTAGAATGTCCTTTGGGATGTCTGGAACAGAAGTGGTGCAGTTCAGGGTCTGCTGATTGCAAATGTTCATCCATGCAGACCCCCAAATACCTCGTTCCCCTTGAAATTGACTGCATTTTCCTCAGTCCCATCTGTTCAAACCCATACCTTCCTACCTTGTTAGGAAAATCTGGAAGTAAATGGCCGTAGGAGTGTATGAACCTCTTCTCTCCAAAATATTTGCTTCTTAAGAGAAGCAATGTTGGCTTCAAATGGTGTCATTCCAAGTGTGGGGAGTAATTTGAGAAATAGGTAGGAGTTTGAAATCAACCCGCAAAGGTCAATGCTCCTGGTAGTCACACCTGGAAAGGCCAGCAAAAGAAAAATTGATGTTGTTTGTGTCACTGGCTGTGCCCAAAAAACTAGTAGAACTTTCATGGTGCAAAGATAAATGTAGGCACTTATTCAAGGGTCACTTAAGGAGAAAAGAGTTGTTATACAAGGTCTGATCTTTTCTCGGTATTTGTATTGCTGCAGGTGGTAAAAGCATTTATAGTCCTTACCCCGGACTACTCCTCTCATGACCCAGAGGCACTAACGCGGGAACTCCAGGAGCATGTGAAAAGGGTGACTGCACCATACAAATACCCCAGGAAGGTAAACATCAGGGTTTCCAGGGTACAGTGATCTGGGAATCAGATGGACACGCTCTGCCTGGGCCCCAACTCAGGGCCAGGCCCTGTGACAGGCTCTGGGGATATGGAGAAACTTGTAACCCTGGCTGCTGCTTCAGTTTTTTTCTGTATTTCTTCACTCGGGTTCTCCCCAGAGCACATTTTGTTCTTGCCCTAAGAACAGCCTGATCCCTACCATAAATCAGATACAAGAGGTGGTGCTCAAATGCTGTCAAAAAGATCCTGTGCTCCAGGCTCCAGCTGTTTTGCTCCTGGCAGTTTAGGGGGAAACCCTGAATCAAGGACAGGCAGACAGTAATGGCTCTTTCAAAACAAAAGTCTTTTTGAGGAATGATGATTTCCAAGTGTTTTTTGTTTTGTTTTGTTTTGTGTTTGGTCACTAGGTGGCCTTTGTTTCAGAACTGCCAAAGACGGTTTCTGGAAAGATCCAAAGGAGTAAATTGCGAAGTCAGGAGTGGCGGAAATGAGGTGCAACCCCAGGAAGGCCCCGTAGACCTCTGAAGGCTCCACGAGAAACTAATGGATCACTGGTCAGCCCCCATGGGGAGCATCATCTCTTCAACCCTAAAGATGTCAAAGGCGTGCAGCTTCCAAACGGCATCCCCAGGATCACTGCGCAATGCTGGAAAGAGCAAAAGAATATCATTGGCCCCGACCACATAGATGCTGCGCAGCCTAGCAAATGCTTGGTGGTTTGACTTCTCCCTCTGTCTCGGGGGAGGCTCAGCATCTGCCCACTGGTCTCACTAAGAGCTTCAGATTTCCCTCTGTAGGACAGGTTACCGGAGCCGTGGGGCACTTGTGGGTACTCATTCTCTGCCAGTGGGAATGGAAAGGCTCCATCCTTTGTATGCAACCATTTGGTAAAAGTATGCAGGACCATAAAATTGGCAATATCCGCCGGGCGCGGTGGCTCAAGCCTGTAATCCCAGCACTTTGGGAGGCTGAGACGGGCGGATCACGAGGTCAGGAGATCGAGACCATCC